CATAGGGGGTGTACTATTTTATGATATGATCAAGACATTCACAAAATCAAGCATCAATAATGCAATAGATAGAAGCTTATCTGGGGGGGGGGGGGGTCCACACCTCCTGCACCCCTTCCCTAGATCTGTGCCTGTTATGTTCAAGGCAAACAGAACCTTGGTGAAATATGAGACATGTATATGGTTCCCATTAGTTGTACAACAGTGTACTATTGTACAACAGTGGACTATTGCTAATATACCCATGATAGAGTTACCAATCAGAATTCACAATTTGAATAAATTATAAATTATAGTCTGCTAGATAATGTCAGAATGACTACACCATATTGCCTGTGACTTTGTCCCAGATAAAGTCCCAAATAGTTCTTTATCTTGGGTGTAAGGTCTGATTAACCATGTTAGATAATGTGTTATTCTCTTGAGAATAATTCTTGGTTTAAGTTGTGCATATTCATGTGTCTTCTCTGTGCAACCAATAAACAAAGAAATAATACTCTAGAGAATGACACATGGTCTGTAATAGTATTTGAAGAAATAAAGCACAGGGGGGTTGGCAGATAACACAGAGAAGAAGAAACACAACGTGTAGCGGAGTGCTTCTCGACACTTCTCGGGTGTTCTGCTAATCCTCAAGTGCACAGCACAGCAAGCAAGTTTTTATTTCTTTTATAAAATACAAATTACAATAATAGATAGGAATGACTCAACAGAAAGTGCGCGTGCGTGCTGTGTGCTCTCATAAAGCTTGCACTTCCAATCAATCAGAATGGGAGATCAATAACAGTTATTCTACAACAAACATTATGCATGCCCAAGCCAAGAGGTCTAAAGTTTTGTTTGTTAATTCCTACCTGCTACTGCAGTGAATATTATAGCTGGCCTGAATCCCATGGTAAATTAAGAATTGGTGAATTCATAAAACCTTTCAAAAAGGTTTAAAAAATCTATAAATTCAAGAACAAAAATAAGAGAGAATTACTTATACAAAACAATTAAAACTTATAAATAACAACATATATACTGATAGAAACTGAAACATCTTTAATCTTCGGATAAAATAGTCAAAAAAAGTTTGTAATAAACAAAGTTTTCTCACACTTTTAATAATTAATCGTATTGTACTTGAATTCTTAAGAATACAGCACTTAAATTGTTGAATTTTAATAGAGAATTCAACCGAGAATATTTCCTTAGCAACAATTAATAGCAGTGGCGTCTGAAGTAACCACATACGAAACGACTGTGTATTTATGCAGTCACGCTTGAATTTACAAAAATACTACTCCAATCTCAACAGTAATGAAAAATAAAAGAATTGTGTTAACTGTTTTACGATTTTTGAGGTTTAATGGGTAGTTGAATTTATGTTTTGATAGACAAACAAGTTCAAGAATATCAAAGAACAGAACGAGAGGTCTTGGTATTTTGAGGTTGGACTTTAGGAGGAAATRTCACTTTCATTTACGTACTCAACCGCAACTGTATCAAACAAATTACTTTATTTTGTATGGATAAGGTTTAATATTTAAAAACTTACTTTGTATTTGGTTTTTAAGGTATTTTGAAGTCCATGAATGCGATCCGTGCTGAACTTTGTGCGAGTCTAGTCGTCGAAGTAAAGCTTTGTGTGGTCAGAGTACACTTTTACGAGAGAATTCTTTGTTAAAAAAACGCTTCACTAACACTTTCAGTTTTAAGCGCTTACAATGATATCTAGATGAACACTTTTGATTTCATTGAGGGCTTAAGAATATAAGCTTTGTTTTATGATCCTGTGATGGAATCCATCCACGATCGGATAGGCTTCTCTTTAGTGTCACGCGACTAAGTGTGTAGTGCGTGACCGGTAGTCGCTGTCACGTCATGTCAACCGGAGTGCACCGCGTTTCTACTGCAAACAGCTAGTCTTCATCCTAGTCTCCTCCGCAGCTACTCCATATATTCTTTATTCTCTGTTGGGATCACTGTATTAAGTTTTATGGCAGAGAAGAACCGTAGGAACGATCTAAGCGTGGAGACGGAACGGCCGAGTGAGAGACTGTGGAAGAGCCTAGAGAGGAGGAGGAGGAGGAGTCCCCCTTCCCCCTTCGTCTTTTTGTCCTCGCCACAGGAAGCCCAAGGAGCACAAAAAGCCGAACAGATGCTTGCGGAGGAGGCTATCTTCATCCCTGGTCTTCAACAGGCGATGGTTTAGACCACAGGTAGCCCAAGCCCAAAAGACTCTTCTTTCTTACCAGTGTAGGGGGAAAACGTTAAAACTGGCTTAATGCAAAATAAATCTAAGTATACAGGACGAAAGAGGTACTACTTTTCAAAGGTCAGTCTTTACTTTAATTTACATTTAGGCGATCTCATTGAGGTTTTTAAGTGTCGCCATACAATTTTCTTATGACACCACAAGAACCTAGCATGGGCTACAGAGGGAGGTCTGCGGTGATCGACGTAGGAGCATTTTCGTCAAAAATTCGTGGGATCTATGACTCGACATTTTGCTAATGAACATATGAGCGATATGAGGTATCGAAAAAAAATTTGCATCATCAAGTAAGGGATTTTTATAGTGTAGGAACTATAAGTTTGTGTATTTCATAAATTTTAAAGATCGCGCACGGTGTGAGTGGTCGCTATTCATTCAAATCATTGGACAAAAAATTTCATGCCTAATTTATTTTAACTTTTCTCCTTTATTTAGTTATTCATTTTTGTTTGGTTGTCTGTCTATTTGTTGCAGGACTGGTATCGTTGGTTATTTAACTTTATTTTTAGTGAGCCCAGTAAACAAACCGGAGCCGCAATAAATAAAGATTCTGTGCGAAATATACCATGCTTTTATGTTCAACTGAGAAGACAAAGACCTCTCTTTTTTCCCCTTCCTTTTCCCTACTAGAAAACCGTACATCGCCAAGCAACGCTGGCTACGAAATTGGCCTTTATTATACACCATCAAAAAAGGCGTTCCCCTTAAGATACTTTAGTTCATCAGTTATAGAAGTCAACACAGCTTTCATTGGAAAGAGTATATCCAAATCTCCCAAAATTTCAATGTAGTCACATTAAATGAGAAAAAGCTACAGCTGTTTGAAATTAGAAAGGCTTGTATGGAAACGACAACCAAGGGCCTACCAGCCTCGCTATCATGGTTTCATCTATATCTTTATCTCTATCTATATCTCTATCTATATCTCTATCTATATCTCTATCTATATCT